AAAAACACTTATTAAGCAAACATTAAAATTTCGATGTCCCAAAAAAAATTACTCACTCCTATTCATAATAAGTGTCGTTTTGAGATGTTGCACAGTTATTAAGAATATTTTTTTTTGTCAATAATAACCCTCATTAATGAGGATAGAGATTAATGTTTTGGAAAAAAGATGAAGAGTGAATATGAAAAGACGTAGTGTATTTATTAGCTAGATGAGGGTAATAATGGAAAAATATGTACAAAATACCCAAAACGATATTTATTTTGTTAATAGTTGATAATGTCAAAATGACAAAAGAATAGGAGGTAGCATGTAAAAACTCTTATTATCGAGCCGAGCTAAATGAGCTTTTAAGTAAGCTCGTTTCATTTATCACACAAGCAGAGTGGAGCTGAACCAGACCAAGCTTCATTTATCACACGAGCTGAGTGTAGCTGAACCAGACCAAGCTTTTGAAGGTTGCATGTAATGTATGGCGGTGGCCATTGGTGGTTCAAATGACGGTTGCTCTCAATTATTGGATTTGTATGGTATTAACTACATTATTTTTCGCGGATATATGTATGCAAAAAGCCAAAAAAACCCGCCGCCCATTGCCCTCAAAAAGCTGCGAAATCTAACTGATAACAAGGAAAAATTATAGGAAAAAGAGAAGAAAGGGGCAATCTTTGGTTATCAGGTACAAATTCCTTCGCTTAATGCTGTGGATCTCTTCATTTTCGTTTCAACCTAATTTGTTTGATGTATCGAGATCTGCTCACTGTACTATCCACGCTTCGTGCTATAGTATCAAACCCGTATCGTCGTTTTCACGTCACGATTACTTTCTTCTTCGCAAACCCATTTTCTTCTGATTAATTGATATTTTTTCTTGCCAGTTTTACTCATTTTGCCAAGTTGTTGAGTTTTTAATGAGTGAAATGTTGGGATGCTATCTTTTTGTGGGCTTTTTTTACAGGGGTTTGCAAGCTAATTGAATTGGGGGAAGGATAATTTTTCGTTATTGCATTGTTGGAGAAGAAAAAAAAAAAAAGATTAGTATATAAATGTTGGGTTTTACGCTGTGGCCTTCTACGGCTGAGGTTTCATTTTCTTGTTTGAAGTCGAAAAATGTTGTTCCAAAAGCTTTCAGTAGACCTGGTGAGTTGAGCAGGAGAGAAAAACAAAGTGGAGTCCGAAAGAAAACGTTTGTTGCATGCCACCTGGTACCCAGGCAATTGGAAGGGTCAGAAGTAGGGAAGATAAAGGCCCATGAGCCGGCTTCGAAGTTGGAATTTGTTCGGACGTTGTTGATCGATAATTACGATAGTTACACATATAATATTTATCAAGAGCTTTCCGTCATTAATGGATGTAAGGTTTTCTATCTTGTTATGTTTGCTGTGCTTCCATCATGTTAGTTTTGGGCTTATTAGTAGCATGGATGAAGTTTTTCAATATTAGCCTGCAATAATTTTGATGATTGGTGCCTTATAGGTTGTCACAGCCTCACAAGCGACATCGTAATGAGTGTCTTAAATTTGATCAATTGATGTTTGTCCGGCATGATGTGTGTCTTTATCATGATACACACACTTGTATTTAAAAGAATCGGCTTATAATGAAAGCATCAGTGATCTACTATTGTTCAATCTTTCTCGACATATTTACTGTCAGTACGATATTCTCCGGTTTTCTATCTTGATAATTCTGAATTTAGGAACAAATTCATGTCACTTGGGATCTATCTATGTACAATGACTGGGTCAGAAATGCTCTGGCAGTTATGCATAGTGATATTGCTATCAATGTTCTATTATGTGATCTGTATTATTGAAAAACAATGAGATGAGTTCTTTTCTTTTCGTTGAAAACATGAGAATAGGAGCATTACATGTTTATAGTAGAGGTTAGTTCTTGTTTTATCTAATGCAGGGATTTTTCATCATCAGAGCCATCTTGAATGAATAAACATTGAATTCTTTTTCTGTATCATCCTGTTGCTTCTGTAACGATTTGGCTGTAACTTGTACAATTATTGTCTACACTCCTATTTATTACACAAAATGAACTTTTTTCGTCATGAGGACTTTGGAATAATCTTATATCTATTTCGCATGTTTGATTCAGACATGATAATCTTGTTTTGTTAGATCGTGCATTTTCTAGCTAGCATGCTGGTTCTAAAACATTAAGTATCATATAAAGCTTTGGCTTCTAGAGTTATTCTTGGTTGCTAGTTGTGTCAATCTAAATTGGCAAAAGTACGATTCAGAGTAGCGGCATATGTTTCTCACCCTCGTGAATAATTATCATTGCACTTGAACTATTAGAACCTCAAAGAGATCCAAATTGTGGTTATTTCAAATTGATAGTTACCCTTCTACAGTCAGAGATATTCTATGATTAGCTACTAAAGTATAATTATGAAAGTGTTTTCTTATCTTACTTTTTTTTTGTTTTTTTTTTTGGAAACTGTACAGTGCCTCCATTGGTGATTCGTAATGATGAGTGGTCTTGGGAAGATGTTTGTTATTACCTGTATGAAGAGAAAGCATTTGATAATATTGTGATATCCCCTGGTCCTGGATCTCCAACATGCCCAGCTGACATAGGTTACAATTAGAACATTGATTTCAAGCTTTTTTTTTCAGATTTTACCAACTGTATTGCCTTTCAGTTTTTGTGTTTATATGAAATTTTGGATTGGACCCCTTCAGATGATGTAACTTAAGAAGTTGAGTGATGCCCCAGCATGAAGTATTAGTTTATCTCAGTAGTTTTTCTTACCAAAATGCCTACTGAAGCAAATGTTTCCACAATGAAAAGAAAAATTCAGATTAGCTGTGATTGTAATTTTGCTGCTGCTGCTGCTGCTGCTCTCTCTATCTCTCTCTCT